AGAATGCTACGTTTTCTCAGGAAGTGCATTTTTCCTGGCTAACATCGATGGGTAATAATATTGATAATGGTAATAGGACTTCGTCCAATTCGGTCTGTAATCATACGAGTGATTTAACAAAATCGGACTTTCGTGCAGTGGGAGTCTGATTTGTTAATCACGAGGGAGAAGGAGTCAGGCAGAAAGGCGAGGGAGGTGGGAGGGGTCGGGGGCGATTATTATAACCCCTCCCCACCCCCAACCCGGCCCCCTTCCTCGCCCTCTTTCACTCGCCCCAACTTTCCACGTTTTGCGAATCCAAGATGGCGGCTAAACACTTGAAGGAGATAAACAATCGCAAGCCCACAAACCGGCTGCATTGCAGGCTACACAAAACGCAGAATTTGGTCGTTTGACGGCTAAGAAATGTACCAAGATTATAACGCACGTGCAGAGCTATTGTACACTCCCTAATGATTGCGATATTTGCTGTATCCGTGTTGTTTTGTTCCAGCAATAGCTGAGGTGTATTTTCAAGAAGGTAACAAGGAATGCAGAGAAAAGAAATTCAGCAACGCTGTATACTTCTACACGGAAGGAATTAAAGTGAACTGCAAGAATAATAAAAAGAATGCCATACTGTACAGCAACAGGGCAACAGCTCATTTCAAAATGGGTGAGGTTTGTTTATAATTAGGCTTGATTTCCGCTGCTCTCTAGTTCAGGGGAGAAGCGTGGGCTCATTTTAACGAACAGCAGCTGGTAACCGAGCCTAGGTTTGTTACGTTTCTACTAGATTTTCAATCGTCACACAATATTGAAGTCACGCAACTTGGCCTCTGGTCATGGTTTGCCCTAAAAGAATGAAAAATAATTCTTCTTTATCCCCCAACCTTTTCTTATGTGTCACAATTTCTATTCTTTCCGTTACTTTAGGGAATTACCGTGAAACATTGAATGACTCAAAAGCTGCCACTGCATTGGAACCAACTTTCATCAAACCCATAGAAAGAGGTGATCACAGTTCTGTTATTTGTATTTGCAAGAAAACCCCTGTAAAGTAAAGTCCCGGATGTAGTACTTTTCCTAACAAAAAATGCTTTCTGATTCATTTCATTGTTGATTAGGAGCGAACGCTTGTGTGGAGCTACATCTTTATGAAGAAGCCATTGCCTGGTGCGATAAGGGTTTAGCAGTATCCTTTTATAAAATGTATTACAGCTTTTATCACTCGTTAAATTCTTCTTATAACTTTTCATTATTTTGTTTGCAAATCTGAGACATATACCACAGAGACATTCATTCAGGATGCAATTACACATATTTTTATAACAGCGTTCGTTCTGAGGAAGACCTGCATATTGTGTGCCAATACGATAAAAGGAGAAAGTTCCTTTCCTAAAAAGGAAAGTGTATACCTTGCTCCCAATGTGTGGCTTCATAGTTCAGTTGGTAGAGCATCGCACTGGTAATGCGCAGGTCACGGGTTCAAATGCAGTTGAAGCCATCAATTTTTTTCAGGCTTCTTTGCAATTGCTTAAATTGCAAACACAACTGCGAGCATTATTTCTCCACTTTGCACTCTCTACGATCCGTAGTTCACATATGATTTCACATTCATAGACTTCACTTGCAATTGGCATTGCATACTTTGTATTAATTTGTAGGATAGCAAGTGAGAATTTTCCCATTACGTTCTAAGTTTGCGAGCTCTTTATTTTACATAATATTATGTTCTTACATAACTTGACTTTAAGAAGCTTGACGAGAATAAAAGCACTTTGTTGGATTTAAGGGCGAAGTCTGATGAAGAACTATGGATGGTTTACGCTCAAGTAAGTCCCAATACAGGAAAACATGAGGAATGTTTAAACACCAGATTTAATTGCTCGAAATCAAGGGCGTTGTTCTTGGCAGATTTAGTGACTTTAGCTCTACAGCCCCCAAAAAGATTTCTTTTTGTTGTTGTTTTACGCATTCTGACCGTGGAAGTAAAAAAAGGTGTAGATAGACAGCAGGTATTCATTTATAATAATGGTATTTTATCGTGCCCTTACTGGGAAGCTAAAACAATTTCAGCTCGTCCCTTTCCCTGAAAGAGTCTAAAAAAGCCCTTCCTATCTATTTTCATAAGTAGAATTTAGAAAAAATAACCCATACAAAAGCAAACTAAGTAACTGGAATCAATAGTTAATCGCATAATAATGTCCATTGTAGAACTGGACTACAAATGTATTGCAGTAACAGACAGACAGATGAAAAACAGACCTACAGAGACATGAAATTTGCTTCTTTTACTTACAGAAAACTGGAAACCCTTATGTGCGTGAACGTCTTGAAAACGCTTATGGCCGTCTTAAAATTGCCAGACAAATAGGAGATAAGGTTGAAGAAGCAAATGCATATTGTAATCTTGGCAATACCCATATTGGTCTTGGAAATTTCAAAGCAGCCATTCCCTACCATGAACGTAGTCTAAAAACTGCCAAAGAAATAGTAAACAAGGCTGCAGAAGGAAGCGCGTACGGTAATCTTGGAAACGCTTATTATAACCTCGGAGATTTAAAAAGAGCCATAGACTACTATAAACGCTCTCTAAAAATTCACATACAAGTAGGAAACAGAGATCAGGAGGGACGCACGTATGCCAATCTTGGCTGTGCTTATCAAGGTCTCGGAGACTTGGTAAAAGCCATGAATTACCATGAACTCCATCTTAATATTACCAAAGAACGAGGAGACAGGACTGGAGAAGGACGCGCCTATGGTAATTTTGGTAACGTTCATCACGTCCTTACAAATTTCACAAAAGCTGTAGATTACCATGAACGTTCTCTTAGAATTGCTGAAGAAGTGGGAGATAGGTCTGGAGAAGCAGATACATTAGCCAATCTTGGCAACGATTATCGCGAACTAGGATGTTTTGAAAAAGCCATACACTACCACCACCGTCACCTTGAAATTATCAAAGAATCGGGAAACAGGGCGCAAGAAGGAAAAGCGTATGGGAATCTTGGCGTCTCTTACGGCAAACTCAGTGAAACCAAAACAGCCATAGACTACCATATTCTCCAACTAAAAATCGCTAAAGAACTGGGAGACAGGGCTTCAGAAGTAAGAGCGTATGGCAGTCTTGGCATCTCACAAATGGAACTTGGAAATTTCAAAAAAGCCATAGACTACTTTGAACGCCAAATGAAACTTGCCAAAGAAATAAAAATAAAGGATGCAGAAGGAGTTGCATATGGTAATCTTTGCATCGCCTATCACAACCTTGGAGATTTAGAAAAAGCCAGCGACCACCTTGGATGTAGTCTAGAAATAATTATTAGAAAAGAGCTGGACAATAGGTCTAGCTCTTAACATACCACAGGGTCACCACAGGGGATATTATGTTTTTTTGGAAAAAAATGAGGGATGTTAATAAAAGCAGTTGTGGATGAGTTTCTTTTAAACAAAGCTCCATATAACCATATATATATCTGTAATCAGTACAAAATGGTCTTTCAATTGATGTAATATATTATGGGATACGTCATATGTTATGACATCACCACATGCATAATTAGCATAATTATTTAAAATTTAAAGCAGAACTAAGTGAAAGAAACCTGTAACAAAGATATTTCAAAATTATTGCTTTTTCTCAATCAATTCATGGTCTTTACACATTGAAAACATGTTTTTAAGTATTAATAACACTCTCCTGCACAGATAATTGAACCATCAAGGTTATTGCAATGGAATAAATTATCTTGTAAGTAAGAAAATCTTTAAGTAAAATCTTTGAGACAATCTTTGAGTAGTCACTTTTATTGTCCCATAAATCACTTTAGCTTAGCACTTTCACTTCCATCATCATGTTAGTGTCTTTCAATGTTCAATCTTGAAGAACTCTTCCTCTTCCCCTTGCCCAAAAATCAGTACCCCTTGCCAAAATCCTCCCCTTGCCCAAATCCTCCCCTTGCCCAAAATCCTCCCCCTTCCTTCTTTCAGACGTCTGGGGCTTTCGCGATCTTCATCATTGAAATAGTAGTCTCTCAATGTGTGGTATCTCAGAAAACAGGGCTCCAGGCACATGCGTACTCTACACACTGCACAGCTACAGACAGTATCTACACGCTGTAGGTGAACCTTGCATGTAGATCTTGTGTAATTGCTCACCAGGTGGTGAAAATGATCTTGGTTGAATCGGATCTCAGGAGTGGGTGCCGGTGGAATTTGTATGTCCATCCTGAAGGAGTGTCCATGAATCAGATCACTAATCAAAGACGTTCTGAAGTCTAGAGAACTTCTGGTGGTATTCCTTACCAAAATATGTGCATTTGATACACACACTTCTATAAGATAGAAAAAATCTTGTAATACCACACCGAACCCCTCATTAGCCTTGCATAATTGCCGACTCTCTGATCCGAAACATCAACACCTCCCATGTAAGCATTATATAGGCTAATCACACCAGGGCAGGCAAAGTTTCTCTACCCAGTAGCCATTTACATGTGGAACCCCGCCATACGACCACCCCATTAATACATGTACGACCACCCCAATATTACGACCACTTTTTTGTGGCCTGAACAAAAGCCCACTAATTTTCTTATCTGAAAACCCTGTTAATCCGACCACCCCGTTATTACAAACAACGACCACCAGTGACCTTTTGGAGTCCCCAGTCGCTATTTTCTTTCTAAAATTACCCTGTTAATACAACCAGTCAAAATGCCTGGTAAGACTGCTGAATGAAAACAGACACAATCTGACAAACAATAAAGCATTTTAGTGAGTACTGCCCGACAAAGTTGTTAGTGATTAGCGTGTTCAATTTATAGCGGAATTAAAGGTATATTTGTCATGGCATTATTTAGAAGGGTGTATCACCATAATTTGACCATACCCTGTTAATACGACCACTCCAATAATACAACCAAATTTTCATGGCCCGACGGTGGTCGTATTAAAGGGACACTGTCCCAGCGTATTTGCTCAAAACTGTTATAAATGCATGAAATGGTCCCTAAATCTATGGAATAAGAACTTAATAAACTCTAACTAAATGATAAAAAGCAATTTCTTCAAGAATTTCCATACTGCAACAAAAATTTTGCAAAATTTCAAAGATTTCCGAGCCAAATTTGAAACTTTGAAAAACTGACATCCTAACGTTTTTTCAAAAATCCATATTGCAATCCATTTCCATCCTCGCTGTCGTTTGTCATCCTCACTTCCTAATGGGTTCCTGTCATTTGTCGAGTGTTATTCTACAGAATCAAACCATTATTGTTCAACTTCCTATGATCTAGATATGTTTCTGAGCTTCCCCAAATCATGCTAAAATCAGGACAGTGTCCCTTTAATGGGGTTCCACTGTACTTTCACTGACCTTTCCACAACACCAGAATCTTCTTCACTAGTCTAGTGGGTACAGTGTCTAAGACACTGACAGTTTTCCTGTCACGCCATGTCACGCAAGTCAAAGTATCTTTCTGTCTGTACAGTGAGTCTCCTCTTTTGAGATTTTTTTACCTCTTTTGCTTTCAAATCACAAATATCTTTGGGCAAGCCTACCCTATTAGACCTCACACAGTGCCACAAGCCAAAGTTTTCCTTCCCTCTAGTTCCTCAAACAACCCTACAGAGGTGTAATAATTATCCATGAACACATAATAGCCTTGATCAAGGAAAGGCTGCATCAATGACATAACTGCCTTTCTCCCTAGATCTTTCTGGACTACATTAGGTACCTCCTTTCCAGTGCTCCCTAGAACATAGCCACTGGTTGATTCAGCAAGAGTAAAGGCCTTGATTCCAAACCTGCCAGGTTTTATGGGGATGAATTAATGCCTAAAATGAATTTTCCCTTTGAACTTGATCAAGGTTTTATAATCAACAGTAAGTTGCCTCTCAGGTTTGTAAACTGCCCTGAACCTAGGTATTATTTAACAATTATTGGATGAGGTTTTTGTGATATCCAGAATAATCAAGGTCGAGGTAAGAGTTATCAGCCGAAGCCGAAGGCTGAGGCTGATAACTCTTACCGAGACCTTGATTATTCTGGATATCACAAAAACCGAATCTAATAATTGTTTTATTATACATTCAACGAAAAAAAATAATGCTTTTGCCAACGATGTTGTTTACTTATAAGCCGAGCAAGCAATGTAAAGCGCGCGAACTTGACATGATTACCCGTGATCCTCTCGCGAACTTGACATGATTACCCGTGACCTTGAGTGCACTTGACATGATTATTGTATAATCTGTAGGTAGATGACGTAGATGCTTTCAAAGGCGCTGATTTCGAAAATTCACTGTACGCTTTCGGCCAATCAGAAAAGAGATAGTGAGTTGAATGTATAATAATCAAAATTCGGGCGAATTAGGCTTGGGAGCCAAGGAGTTATTGACAAAGTGAAGGTAGCTGCGCAGAATCTGAAGAAATCTTGTTGTCGACATAGTGGCACCAAAGAATGGGGTGAACAGTATGGGGTCAGTACTCCAGTAGAA